AGGAATATCTTAACACGGTTTGGAGAATCAGAGCCTAATTTACTTGTTTTTTACTTTCTCAGTCAATTTCTTTTGTCTTCGTTTTCTTTTCACAGGCTTCCCATCAGGATCCTTTCCTTCTAAAAGCATTTTCTTCCTCTTATTTATCATCCTCTTCTCCAAAACAGCACTGCTTTGAACCTTCAACTGCGCTTCTCTCCTTGCCACCATCACTGCTCTGAGTAATGGCAGCACTTCATTTTCATTGGTTTCAAACTCAACAAGCTTTGTATTAATGGTAGCTTCAATCTGTTTAACTCTATCTACATCATACTGGGTCATCAGTGTTATAGCCATTCCACCACGCCCTGCTCTCGCAGTGCGACCCACTCGATGAATATAATCCTTCGGTGACGCTGGCACATTGCTGTTAATCACCAGTTCAACTTGAGGTATATCTAAGCCTCTGCTTGCTACATCAGTTGCAACAAGAATTTTCACCAGTCCTGATTTAAACGTAGCTAATCCAGCTAACCTCTCCCCTTGTGATTTCAGCGAGTGGAGAGCAACACAGGGTAAGTCACACTTCCATAACATGTTAGCTAGAGTCTGACAATTCTTACACGTGTGTGTAAAGATGATAACTGACTTATTTTCTGCATGCTCTCTCAGGATGTAGACAAGATAACTGTCTCGCACACTGGCAGGCGTAAGAATGTATTTCTGATCCAGTTCTGCGACAGTTGCAATACTGAAAAAAGTAAAAAAAATTAAATCAAACAAAATTTCCTTTTCCTTTGGTTGGAAACTGTTGTGGATGATCAATAGAAATGAAGAATTGAGATTACCATCATATAATAATATTGCAATAACCCATTTTACAGTTACAGGTGAAAACAAGGCTGGAGTTGACCTTGCTTTCATACAACCCTTCCTCCTTTATTATGTTAACCATGGTTTTCTTACGCTAACTAGTATTTTTAAGCAAAATTTACATTAGAAAAGGAAGGAGGTTTGTATCAAAACAAGATCAACCTCAGCCTCACGTTCACTCAAAGGCTAAGACACTTAGCCCACAACTGTAAAATGGCCTATTCCATGCTTTAGGCATGGCTGTCGGTCTCATGAAGAATTTCTGAGTGTGACAGCTGGTCTCTTGCAAAGTCTCTACAGCAAGAAGCCTGGCATAAAGTAGAATCTACTGGTAGTTCTAATACTCTCACACACCAATTTTTCATTGTCTATGCAAAAATGTAGGTTGTAGTACACTAGGAAATGTCTCATGCAAATTGTATCACAGTCGAGCAATGAAATTGCTAAACAACTGACAAGAAAAGTTGTCAAGTTTTACAGGTCTTAAGTCTTTGTTTGTGGGTGGTCCTAAATTTCTTGATTATAAGCTAAAGGGGAAATTTTACCAAATATTGCCATTTGATACTGGTCAAGCTCATTTCTGGGCACTAACAGGCCAAACAGAAGCAAAACCACCCAAAATGTTGTCGCCAAGTCAGGCCCTATGAGGGCTTTTGCTCCTAAACTAAACTACAGTTTTCAAAGTTCAGGCATGTACAGCATGAAAAAATTTGCATTTTCACTTTCTCTCTTCCCCCACTTTTTTGCTTTAGTTGCCTTGAATTTTTTTCTTTCAGTGGTCATTCACCAGGCTTTATTTTAGCAGGAAAGAGTTTTCATGAAAAGTACAGGTGGTAGTGAGGCAAGATTTGCACTGAAATTTTCTGGTCAAAGTGGCATGATCTGTATCACATTTATATCACTGGAAATACTGTATGCCACCTATTGACATTGCAGTACAAGCAGTATGCAGGATATTTGTCACAAAAGTTTTTGTCTAACCCTTTAAGCCCCAATAGTGACCTACATCCAATTTCTCCCAACAATAACACTGTCTGATCAAACAGACAGATCATGAGAATTACAGAAATGATCACCACAGATGAAATGTTGTGATGTTAGAACAAATTCTCTCAAGCAGTACCACAAGGAATGTATGAAGAACAGTGTCGAGAGGATGTGTGTTGATGTTGCCGTATCTTAGTGGTAAAGCATCTGGACTGGTAACTAGAATGTCATAGGTTTAAATCGTGTTCAGAGGACCCGAATTTGTTTTTCTGAGTCAACTGTGTCACTGACTACACATAAATAATGATCAGCAGATTTAGCAAAGCCAATGCGACAGCAACGATGATGGCATGCCCAAATAAAAAACTGGCTTCGCCAATGGCAGAGTGACAAACTGGGTTCCGGAAGTTGTGTTTCGTCCTTTCTGCACACTTTCTGGTCATCAACTGATGTTCCCGCTTTGTTGCTAAATCAGCCTAATATTATTCTCAGTCACCTCATTTGTAGCATTTTTTCTCACCTGTTTGACTGAATCATCCTCATATGGTTTGAAAGATGTACAAGTTGGGTTTCAAAGTTGCCTTTAACCATTGAAACCAATAATGTCACAAGTGGTAAAAAGGACATGGAAAAACGCTGGTGGTATTGTAACAGGCAGTTAAGATGTGAGGGTGTTAAAATCCAAGTTTTCCATAATTTTGAAGCTTATCACCTACAAATTACTTAAGTCACGTATTTTGCTAAAAGAACTGAAAGAATAATTATTTTCCCGTAACTTACTCAGACTTGACCTCATGGTAAAAAGGTTCATTAGGAGACAGCTCCCTCAGCTCCTGTAATGTGTCTGTTAACGTAGCACTAAACAACAAAGTCTGTCTTTCACTTGGAACATTATCAAATATGACTTGCAAATCATCCCCAAATGAAGGATCCAAAAGCCTATCGGCTTCATCAAGAACCAAGAACTTGATTCTCTTGAGGTGAACTGTGTCTGTGCTCTTAAGGTGGTCAGCAAGTCGCCCAGGTGTTGCTATGACAACATGAGGCTTCCCGGCAAGAGCCAATGCTTGCTTCATCATATCAAGGCCACCAATGATGACTGCTTCTTTTAAGCCAATGGGTTTCCCAAGTACTCGAAATTGGTCACAGATTTGATAGGCAAGTTCCCTAAAATTAATGGAAAAGACATAATGATCATCATGAGTAAAGGACAGAATTATGAGCTCTGATGGGATTCGATACTAGGGATAAGTGCCCTTATTTAATAAAAAAAAACCTACAAATGGCCTTTTGTTGATTTTTTAAAATCGGATTTGGCATTAAATGGCCAGATTTGGTTGTTTTATGCTGAAAAGTGGATTTTCTCAAAAAACCTGGTACTTTGCTTGACCCATGTGACACTAGGAATTTTGCCAAAAAATGCATTTTCAAGCTAGTCAAGCAGTTCTCTAGTCACTGTCTGGCTATAAAGAGCTTAAACGTACCACAAAGTTGTTTACAGGTCATACACTTTGCGGCCTTCTAATCCAGTGCAAAATATTAGCTTGCGAAGTTTGGGCATGCACAGAAAAGAAAAATTTTGAGATAGTTTTTGGGTTTAAAAGTGACACATCAGTCTTGACTTTTTCTTTTTGCTTTCTATCCTCCCCTCTTCTTTCACTTTTCTTGTCTCATTTTTTTTCTTTTGTTGGTTATTTATTAGGCTTCATTCTTGTGGGAAAAGG